GCGGCAGGGAGATTGGGGAGATCGGCAGCTGTCCGATGCCGAGGCGGACGATTGTTGGGGGGACTGCCAGACCGAGGGTTGCGTGGCGTGGTGGTTTGCTCACGGACGTCATCACCCTGAGTTGCGTACCATCGCGATCCGTGTGATGCACTTGTGGACGTCCGCTTCTCCTGCGGAGAGGAACTGGGCGCAGCACGAGCGCATCAACACGGCGAGGCGCAGCAAGCTTGGGTTTACCAAGCTAGCACAACTGGTTGAGATTACCACCGATTTCAAACTGGCCGCGTGCGCGCAGTAGGGTGGTGGCTACGTGTTGCCGTGGGTTATGGGGACCGGTCGGGAGGGGACAGCGGGAGGGGACGACGGGAGGGGAGGAGGACGACGAGGGAGACGTGGAGCCCGAGGTGTGGGGAGCGCGACCTGCTGGCAGTGTTAGCGAGCAGGACATTGAGCGCCAGGTCGTCGCTTTCCATGCCTGCCGACCGTCCAGAGCCGACCCGGTTCAGGACGTATTCGGCAAGAGGGCGACGGAGCTACTACCGTGGCCGGAGTACACCGCAGGGGCTGACGACACTCCGGACGCTGATGCGGACGACGACACGTCCGACGACCAGTGGACGAACGATGATGACGCGCCCATAAGTGGCGACGCGGCGGCGGAGCGAGTGTATTTCACTTACGGTGGAGGACCCGACGGCATGGCTCCACACACATCCATCATCACTGACGATGTGGTGGACAGGCCAGTGCCACCGGCAGAGCCGTTGATCGTCGTGGACGACGTCCACGTGGCGACGAGGACGTCGAGGAGTAGGAGCCACTTCGGGGCCTTCGGCAGACCGGCAGACGTTGGGAGGTCAGGAGCGACAATGAGCCAGAGAGGGAGGACGAGGAGGAGGAGGTGCCCCGTCAGGATCGTCGGTACTCTCCCTCTCATCATCGGACTACGGGACCGCCCCAGCCGGAGACGCGTTCGGCGAGGTTGGCATCGGCAACAGAGAGACAGCGGACGCATGATAGCGAGGACCGTGAGGGGGCGAGGCCTGTGGACATGCCGGACGTGGAGAGGACTCCATCTGGCGCCGGTCTCCTCCCCCGCTCGCCGTCGGAGCTCCGTACCGACGACTTTGACGTCGGGGGATCAGGTGGGGGCTTGAGGGATTTTACTGCCCCAAGACAGGGCGGTGCTCGCCGTCGGAGCTGCGGAGGCGCGGACGCTACTGCGACAGAGGGTTGAGTACACTCTGTCAGGTCCTGCGATACCTCAACTTCAGTAGCGAGAGGGGCAAACCGCGACGGGGATGTCGGGAAGCCGACTACTGAGGAGGGTGCAGGTGTACACTGCACCGTGTCTAGGAGGCGCCACGGGGATGCGAGGCGCCGGGGGGGGACTGAGCACGACGCTGCCGGGAAAGGTCAGCATAGTGGCGGTCAAGGGCGGCAGTGTAAGGGCACCACGAGGAGGTATGACCGTCCTGGCGGCATCACAAACACCCACGCCGGCCCAAAATAGCCGCGCGCTCCTTAGCGGAAAGAACACCGCGAGGAGGGACAAAGCCTTGAGGGAGGTCCTGCTGAGGAACCTCGGGGGCGACACGCCAGCGTGACCAAGGTGGCTGCGTGCCCGGGAGAGGGCGGAGAGGATACGCTGGAGGCGCTCGGCCGTAGGGAGAGTAAAGTCCTCAAGAATGTAGTGGACGGCCTCGCCGAGGTCGAGGTCGTCGCTATGGTCACCCTCGGGCGACAGCGGGGCAACATCGTCCTGCTCACCATACTCGAGCACGCTGAAGTGTCGCAAGAAGTGGCCGCCGTGCTGCGAGGAATAGTGGGGGCGACTGCGGAAAGGGGAACATCGCTGGGAAGTGTCGTGAGAGGAGGAGGGGGCGTAACCAGTACGCTGACGCTGGGAGGAGAAATTGTGTTGAAGACGGGTCCGCATCCGCGGATGATCCCGAGCGGCCTCGTAATCGTGAGGGGCCGATGTGAACTTGTATCGCCATAACTCGGAGCAGTACTCAAGGGGAAGGCTGACCAAGAAACGATCAATAAGGGCAGCCTCGGGAAGGAACGCCACATCGCAAATGAGGCGGGCATCCGGAAAGACCTGGATATGGCGATCCAGGCTGGCAGCGCCACCAAGGCCGGACCAGCGTGTAGTGACGACACACTCGAAGGCGATAGTCACTTCATGTTGGACTCCTAAGCGATCCTCGAGGAACGGTTGGAAATCCATGAAGGTCGGAGTCCGACCCGCACTCAGGGAGTAAGCGTAGAAATCCTCCCAGGCGTCAAAAGGACCGCCACGCAGGCGCGTGGAGAGGTGAGCCACCCACGTGTCGGGTGGGGCGCCCATGAGCTGGAGCGTGCGGGTGGCGGACTGTAGCCACCGAGACACGCGTATGCCTGTACCGTCATACAAGGCAATGTCCGTCAAGCGGACGAGTGGTGCGCCACCGTTTTGGAGGCGAGGAGAGCGGGGAGCAGAGGCCTGCGCTACGGTCGAGTAAGTCGGCGCAGGTCCTGGAGAAGCGGGTGCATCTGACTGTCCGCCCGGACCGCATGGTGGAGCGGTAGGGGGAACAGCGGTAGGCTGCGAGAGAGCTGCGGTAGAAGAGCTCGCAGCCGCCGAGGGAGTAGGAAGGAGGTAGGATGGGGGTGGAGGAGGTGCAGGGCGGGGGAAGCAAGCCGACAAGAATGAAAGAGTAGAGGAAGAAGGGGGTGCGCCCCAAGGGCGCGGCCACCTGTGAGTGTGGGGGTGGCTGAAGGAGTAAGAGGGCGAGGTCGACCCGGGTCTGGGCAAGCTTGTCCACCTCGAACGTAGATCGAGCGAGGAGTGGCAGGAGGAAGAGTGGGGGAAGTGGACGCACGAGCGGCGCGGGGCATCCAAGAGGGGGGAGAGTCAGGTGGCGCTGAGGTGGTGCGAAGGGAAAGGAGAAGCGGGGCACCCGGAAAAGCTGAGACCATGGTAGCGGGTTGTAGTCCCGTGGCCGTCGTGACCGGAATCTGGGCGGGTGCGCCCGTAGAGTGAGGGAGGGCCTGGCCCGTGGCGGCCGTCGTGCTAGGAGCGTGGACGGTCACCAAGATGGACGGGTCGGGGGCGACAGAAGAGGAAGCTTCGCCATGGCCACCATGTCGGAGGACGGGGGACCCGGACTGGGAGCCAGGATTAAGAGAGAAAATGGGGAGAGGAAGGACGACCAGCGTCCTGAAGTTGCCGCAGGCCAACGGCAAGAGTCGCCATTTGCACCTGTAAGGGCGCAAGGAGGGAGGTGATGAGGGTGTGTAGATCCCCCTGGGGTTGATGGCCCTGGTCTGTCGGCACGGGTGTGGAGCCCGATGCCGAGGTCGTCGCCGTCTCGGCGGCTTGTGACACCCCGTCGACCATGGGGAGGTAACGGGCCAGACTAGAGAGGGTCGGAGGAGGTCCATGTGAGCGAAGAGCGTAGGGGGAGTTCTACGATAGAAGTCGACGGATGGCATTAGTAAATCGAGCGCGGACGCCATCAAAGGGGGAGGGGTGGTTCGGATTCAGTGTGCCGAATGGGAAGGGAAGGTAGGGGGGTTATGAAAACCCTAAACCCTAGAGAAAACCCTAAGAAAACCCTAACCAGAGTTTGAGTGGTTAGGGTAGGGTACCGGTGACCTAATCAAGAAAACCCTAAGAAGGCGGGAGAAAAAATAAACAAACAGCGAAATTTCGAGAGAAAAATAAAATAAATAAGGAAATAAATAAATAATAAAAATAATTGAAGAAATAAGGAAACAAAATATGAAGAGAGAAATAACATTTATTTTTTTTAGAATTTTCGACAGCATTTCCCTACCCTCTATGGGGTCAAGAATGTGCCAAGGGGAAAGGAGACACCAAGATAAGCACACTAGGTTTCAAAATATCGCAAATTAAAAATTTCAGAAATAAATAAATAAATAAGTAAATAAGTGGATGAGAAGGTGGAGAGAAATGAAGTATCTGATTTTTCAAAAATTTCGGCAGCATTTCGTTACCCCCATGGGGTCAAAGTGTGCCGAAAAAGACTAAGTGAAAGAAAAACAGAAAATTTCGGCAGCACTTCGTTACCCCCACGGGGTCAAAATGTGTGTCGAAAGCAACAAAGACCAACTCCAAGTCAGATTTAAGGGTGCCGCAAAGAAATTTGAATTTTCAGAATAAATAAAAGGAAAAATAAAGTAAATCAGAAAATGAGAAGGGAGGGGGGGAAATAAGATAATTCGAATTTTGGAGAATAGAGAAGATT